GAAGAAGAAGAAGAAGAAGAAGAAGAAGAAGAAGAAGAAGAAGAAGAAGAAGAAGAAGAAGAAGAAGAAGAAGAAGAAGAAAAGAAAGAGAGAGAGAGTGTTAGTTTCCCTGCACATGTGAGAACAAATGGAGAAGGTGTCATCAACAAGCTAATGAAGAGCCCTCACCAGGACTCCACCACCCCACCATCCTGATCTTGGACTCCCTCCAGAAATATGAGAACAGTCAGTTTCCCTTTTTAAGCCATGTAGACTATGGTACTTTGGATGGCAGCCCATGTTGACTGATATGGTGACTATACCCATTTACAATTAGGAAACAAATTAAGAGGTCAATGTTAGCATGGCATTTGAACCCCTGGGAGTCTGACCTCAAAATCCTGCTCTTAAGATTCCCCTGTGAATTTTGATCCAGAAAATAATGAATGGATAGTTATCCTTTTAAAAAAATCCAAAACCCTTCAGCCACCTTTTTGTATTTTTATTTTTCAGGTTTAGCAAATCAACACAAAACCAGTGAGCTTTCCTTATTTCTCATCCTTGTCATCTGATATTTTTGTGTTCTAGCAGGATGTTATTATTTAAGCTTTCTGAATTCCAGGTTAATGCAGAAAAATGTAGCCAATCTTTCTGAAATTACAATGTTGAAAAATCAGATATTTACTATTGCTGTATTTGCGTTTTGTAAAACATATTAAATACAAAATATTCACTGTTGTGCCTCTAACTAATTGGCAGTGTCCCATTAAACCATATTAAAATTAACATCTATTAATTGGATTAGTAATTCAGTGAGAATGACAGCTGCTAGTGCCTTTTACAGTTACTGTGTTTCTCTATAATCCATATGGCAGAAATCACATAATGCTTTCTTCCCCATGGAAATAAACAGTTAAGATAAAAAGGATTGATTTGATGTGATCAGGGTGTATGCATTTATTTTCTTTCTTTTCTTTTGTTCTTCAATTTTTTTTTTGTAAAAGTTGGATTATCTCTTTTTCTCCTTTCACAGGTTTTCACCAGCCATATTTTTATATCTGATCAGCATTGTTCCACCACTATGGCTCCTTGAAATGCATCGGAAGACCCAGGTACTTCCTTTTAGAAAAAAGGAAATTGGAATATTCAGCTATAAACTACTTCAACAATATGATTTGACTTATTGAAGAAATGTACTTTTCTAAGGGACTGGAGTCATCAAGAATTGAATAAATAAAAGGCCACTCACTGGCAAAAAGAAATGACTCCAAGATCTGTCAAAAAACTAAAATTATTCAATTTGTTTCAGACTTAGGATAACCTAATTAATTAATATTTTGTGTTAGTAATTTTGTTCCTAAGAATCCCTCCCCCACCTACAATATATTAATGTTTTCATAGGATTGTGGAAATTTGATTTTAACCTTTGCAGTTTCAATGAGTTCCTCTGTTGTGCTAAGAATGAGCAGGCCTCAATAATCTGAAATACTGTAAAATGACATTTTTAGAAACTATAAATAAAAAAAAACTTTATCTGTGCTATATAAATAATTTAAAACTCGAAATGACTATTTAAAATACAGGTTATGCAGTTTATAGGAGATTCATTTTTGGGAGTCTTGTGGGCTGTCTTAGTTAATGGGTAATGCTATTACAGAGCCCTGAAATTAAAGTTAAAGGAGAGAAGTTGGGGAAAGGTGGGCTTGTATGTATTAGCCTACATTGACTTAGAAAATAAACTGTGGCTTTCAATAAGTGTCTATAATTTTTATGTAGTGACTTTAATTGATCTTTTTCCTATATAGACAACGCTGCTTAGCAGGCTCTAGGCTGGGTTCAGCCCTTTCCGGTTATTCCTGCCCCTAAACAACTCCAGGGAGGCCAGTCAGCAGTCATTGCATTCCAGCTTGGACCTCAAGGTTGAGATTATAGGATGGTATTACAGATGATTGTAGTTATATAATATTTCTTACCATTGTTGATAAAATATTTAGGCAAAATCTATGGGAATTTGATCCTATACCATTTTTATAACAAACATAAGCCTTCGATATATGGCTTCTGCTTGCCCCAAATTTTAGGTAGAAAGAAGAAAAAATATTTTCTCAAGTCTCCTTCTGAAAAACATTAAAGTCAGGCTATTTCTACGTCTGTACCAAAAGTATTTTTGTAAGTGTAGACTGGTTGGTTTAAGTTATCATGACTTTTAAAGAAAGTGGCATGAGGAATTAGAGGACTGCTTCCACCTCCTAACTCTTACTACTTTTTGGGGTATGAAAATAAGCTCTAGTGATTTGGATCTAATTATTCCCCTGTACATTCCAGTCTATGATATGGCTATTATCCACAATAACAACTCATTTCCCCACATGCTTTTATAATATAACTGCATTGCACAGATAATTGATATACAGGTCAAATCCCATTACAACAAATCACATGCAACCAAGAGCTCCCTTTTTTAATAAAAAGAGATTTTTGAGCCCCGGGCAGTACTTCTCTAATTTTCATACTACAAAAGAAATTGAACCTTTAGTAGTAATGGATTTGACACTGAGAATTAAAATGAATGCTCAGAGATTGAAATGGGCAGGGTAAGCAGAGATAAAAGTAGAAAAAGTGAGAAAAACAAAAAAATATTGGGATTACACTTTAAAAAATAAGAAATGACAGAATAAAGTAAGGTAGAGCAATTCCCTTGGTCCATTAAGGAATTTTGGTTGTGATAATCAGTTTTCTTTCTATAGAATCCTGTATTTCAGAGTGCTTTCAGAAACATTTTCTCATATATAGACTCAACTCATTGTTAGTTATGGTGCATACATTTTTGTATGATAGAAGAGAACCTTAAGGTTTGGGAAGATAACTCCTTTTCTTAAGGCCACGCAGCTAATCAACTGCAGTGTTGGAGCTTAAAACCTAATAGACACCTAGTCCATCGAGCCATTGTGTCTTTCATATATACACACACACACGTGTGTGTGTGTGTGTGTGTGTGTGTTTTAGAGGAGTTTGTATTATCTGAATTTTTCATGATGGAAAAGAGTAATGTTCTTTTTTGCATTTGTTCTCCATCCTAAATGTTCTAAGCTATGACTTGGCATTAGGAAAACATCCTGACCTATTTCATGAAGACATTTCTCTTTGATGACCAGTTTGGTGTCTTAATTTCTGAATCTCCTAGAAGGCATGGGTCAAAATGGTTATGATGAGTGTAACCTTAAGCACTAAAGAGATCTGTTTATGAAATGGCACAATTAAAGTAGTGGAAATGTTCTGGTCTTGATGGTGTCATAGACTGGTTTGATCCAAAGAGACATTTTTGAAGGCATTGAAAATTTTAAAGACATAGCCCATGAAAAGTTTGCATATTGCTGCTCAAATCATCTTTAAAAAATTACATGCACACTGATGAACACAAACAATATAAGAAAAAAAAATACAAGTTGGGTTAGGTATAAGGAGTAAATCACCTGTTCATTACAATTCTAATGTAGTTGTCACAAAAAAGAAAGTTTATCAATTGATAAAAGAATAATAGTGGAGAGGAATTTGGATAAATCACACTATAAAAAGGACTGGAAAACTGTTTGCTCCCAAATTAGCTTATATTGCACTAAAATGATTTTTTTCCTAAATAATAAGATGCTGATGATTTTTTTTAGTAATAAAGATGCCAACAACTTATCAAAGTTACCATTGTCAATATACATCTGATTTCAAACCTTGGAACAAAGTGGTAAAAATGTGTTGCCTTTTGACCTTAAATTCTTAGCTAGGCCATAAAACTACTCGGCAACCAGTATTTGTGGTTTTGTTCAAAGATTTTTTTTAAAATCTTCATTTTCTTTATTGGAGCCTTAGCTGCACATACACACACAGCAAGTGTGCAAACAGCTGTATTTTCACTTGTAGAGATGTAGCACATGGCCATTTTTCTTAATTATTCTTGTCATTTCAGCCATAACCTAGTTATTTGGATGGAAAGTAGAAAAAAAATAGCTTCTTGCCAGACTTTATATCTTACCTTTTCAAGTAGTGCATAGAATGATCAATGAAATACCCAGAATAATTAAGATAAAATATTTATAGGTTTTTTCTTTTTAATAATTTCTCCCTAAAAACAAATGCGTGCATGTGGCTGCATGGTGGTTATGCTAGTGGCATATATGTATATGTGTATCGAAAATATATCAACACTGCAAATGTTTTAAAACTTCAACCATTTAAAAACTCAGTTTGTAAAATATGCCTTGGCTATAGCTACATTTTCAAGTTGCTGTTTCTATCCTCTCCTATATTCTGCTCCTTCTTCTACTCTGCCTCAGATTCCCAGCATCTAGCTTGAAAAACATAATGTAGAATTCATTTGTAGAAATTCATATGCCCAATGAGGAAAGGGAACAAAACATGTCATTTCTTTAAGTCAATTGTCAAAGTTTTTGTAAACCTAAATTGACTTGTGAACTGACTCTTAAATTTGTGTAATACCGAACATGCTAATTTTTTGCTTATTACACTGCTGGACAGCAAGATGGAAAGAAATTGGATTATTTATTTAAGCAGAATGGTATTTTAGATAATGAGGCTTCAGGGTAAGACAAATAAATGCTTTGGCCTAGATCATTAATATTCTATTGTTGTCACTGAGTGTTTCTTTTTATTACAATAGTTGCAGGGTTCAAAATGGAACCTCTACTGTCTATCTGTAAATTCTATAGTTCTTCATAATGATTGAGTGCATCTACATCCTCAGAGGGCAATGAAATGAGTCATGAATTGTTGACAGTCTTCTCACTTTAATTGAAAAGTACTTTGCTTTTTGTTTGTTTTACCTCCAGTCTATATTCTGATCCTGGTAAATACATATGTGCTCTATGTAAACTTCACATATTTGTTTATAATCTCTTGAGTAGACTGAAGCCTTATTGTAGTAATTTTTTGTCATACCTCCTCAATTCTTAGGATTGCAGCATACAGTCTGAAAGAATGTCACAGAATACCAGCAGAAAAGATGACTTCAAACAGTCACTGATGTTCAATGAAGAAACCAAAGGAGTGGAAGATATCATTGAGACAGTGAGAGCTATTCCCTTTCATGAACTGATTTAGCAAATTGGAGATTTGGTGAAGAAAATTTGCTTTACATCTCAGCTTATTCTTCCCTAAAGAAAATTTCTAATTTAACTGTTTGTTTCAGGAGTTCATAAAATAGTCATATTCTTATATATTAGTAAGTATATATTACTTGCATGACAGGTATTATATACAGATATTCTTTGTGTAACAACTGAGTTATAGTCTGACGACTAGATCATTAAATGAATTGGTTGCTAAATGAGGAACTGTATATAGTGTGTACAGTGCAATATTCAGAACAAATGGTCAAAGGAAATTCCAATTTGATAACTTTTGCTTTTATTTTCATTACTGTTACATGTAATACTTTAATGTATAATGAACATAAAAATATATCACTGTACTATACAGTACAATCAGCAAAACTATACTACTTTATAAACAAGGTGTACTGTACAAAAAAGACATTGAGGATCTATAAATAAGATGTACTGAACTGTAAAAGAAAAAAAGAAGACAGATAGTAAGTCCTAGTGGTGGGTTGTAAGACTGAACAGCACACCTTAGTCATAAATCTGAACTGTTGTTAAGCAGGTAGGTCACTAATCAAGGAATATCTGTATGTATGTATGTATGGTATTATATTTTAGTAAATATAGGTAACTTACAGTATTAAGAAACACAATTCAGATAATATGTGCATAGAGTACATACACTAAAATATATAATATTTCTTTTTTTTGAGACAAGGTCTCACCACATAGTTCAGGCTGGCCTTAAACTCACTATGTAGCTCAGGCTGACCTCAAACTCACAGAAATCCTCCTGCCTCAGCCTCCCAAGTGCTGGGATTACAGGCATGCACCACCACACTCTGCTATCAATACTTTAATTATATCATTCACAAATTTATGAGTTCTAAATATATATAAATATATGAATTATATATATGCATATGTAAACTGTGGACAATGGAATATTATTCAACATTAAAAAGAAATGAACTATAAAACCATGAAAATATGTGAAGAAACTTTAAATGTTTTTTACTAAGTAAAGGAATCCAGTTTTAGCTCCTCATGGTGGCTCACACCTGTAATCCCAGCACTTGGAGGCCAGGGGAGAATGATCACAACAAGTTGGAGGCCAGCCTGGCCACAGAATGAGTTCAAACCCAGTCTGAACTACAGCAAGACTGTGTCTCAAAAAAAAGTGTCTAGTACGAAATGAAAAAAATAAAGACTTTATATATAGTTTACATTCACAGAACAACTTGAGAGGAAGATCGAGATTTCTTGCATGCTCCATGTCCTCACAAGTGCATAGCTGCCCCTACCATTAGCATTTTGCATCAGAATTGTTAATTGGTTAAAAAAAACTGATGAATTTACATTGATTATCAATAAAAGTCTGTGGTTTACATTAAGGTTAATTCTTGGTATTGTACATTTTATAGGTTTTGACCAATGTATTATAACATGTACACATCATCATAATACCATGTAGAGTACCATGGAGAGTATTTTCACTGCTATAAAAAAGAAAACTGTGCTCACGTATTTGTCCCTCCTCATCCCCTCAGCCACTGGCAATTGTTGGTTCGTTTATTGTCTCTTTAGTTTTTTATCTTTTGCATTTATTACAATGGGGGAATCCTCAAGAGTATAGCTTTTTCAGACTGGATTCTTTTGCTTAGTAATATACATGAAGCTTCCTCCATGTCTTTTCATAGCTTGTAGTTCTTTTATTTTTAGTGCTGAATAACATTCCATTGTCCACAATTTGTTATTCTTCTGCCTATTAAATAATATCTTGGTTGCTTCCATGTTTTGGCAAATATGAATAAAGCTGCTATAAATACCCATGTGCATTTTTAAAAATGTGAACAGAAGTTTTCAATGCTGAGTAAATAGGAAGCAACATGATTGCTGGATTGTATGGCTAGACTATGGTTAAGTTTGTAAGAAACTGCCAACTGTCTTCCAAATTGGCTATATCAACTTATCTTTCTACCACCAGTGATCCAGATCTCCTCTGGCTTTACATCCTTACTAGCACTGGGTGTTGTCAGTGCTCTGGTTTCAGTCATCTAATGTGTGTGTAGGTAACAACTGACTGCTGTTTTAATTTGCATTTCCTTGATTACATATGAAATGGAGCATCTCTTTCTTATCTTCATTTGCTATTTTTATATCTTCTTTGGAGAGGTATCTGTTAAGACCTTGTCTCCTTTAGTAGATGTGTCATTTGCATCTTTTCTCCCAGTCCATGGTTGTCTTTTTCTTCTCTTGTCATTGTCTTTTGCAGAGCAGAAAATTTTAACTTAAATGAAGTCTAGTTTATTATTTTTTTAATGGGTCATTTCTCTGATATTCTATCTAAAAAGACATTGTCGTACACACAGTCATGATCATTTTCTTCTATATTATCTTCTAAGTTTTGCATCTTTCATTTAGTTCTATGATCTATTTTGATTTAACGTCTGTGAGGGGTAGGAGTTCTGGGGTGAGATTCATTATTTCCTTTCTACTTTTGGGTGTCCAGTTGTGCCAGCATCATTTGTTGAAAAAAAAATACTTCTTTTCCATTGTATTGCTTTTGATAATTTGTTAAAAATGAATTGTGGAAGGGCCAGGGATTTAGCTCAGTGGTTTCGCCGCCTGCTGGGCAAGCACAAGGACCCGAGTTCGATCCCCCGTACCAAAAAAAAAAAAAAAAAGAAATTAAAAAGAAAATTAAAAATTAATTAAATTAAAAAACTGAATTGTGGGTTTATGTGAATCTATTTCAGGGCTGCTAATTCTGTTTTATGCATCTATTTGTCTATTCTTTCACTGTCTTATTTACTGTAGTTTATAGTAAATCTTGAAGTCAGGTAGAGTCAGTTCTGTGGCTTTTTCTCTGATATTGTGTGGCCTATTGCAGATCTTTTGCATTCCATATAAACTTCAGAATCACTTTGTCAATATCCACAAAATATCTTGCTGGGATTTTGAATGGGATTGCATCAAATTTACAGACAGACGAGGAAGAACTGACATCTTGACAATACTCAGTTTTGTTGTCCATGAACATGTAATATCTCTCATTCAATTTATTTTATTCTTTTGTAGTTTTCTTCATATGTTTTCCTCCATTTTTGAGGGTACAACTGTAAATAATACCGCATTTTTAATTTCCACTTCTTCACTAATATATAGGAAACAGGTTGACTTTTGTGTATCAACCTTTATTCTACAAACCTGCTTACTATTTCCAGGGTTTTGTTTTGTTTTTGTCAATTTTTTAGAATTTGCTACATGGTAATTATGTTATCTGTGAGCAAGAACAGTTTCATATCTTCCTTTCCCATTAGTATACCTTTTTTTATTTGTTTGTTTATTAAGCTAGCTAAACTTCTACTCTATATATTTTAGGTATTAATTGATAAAATAGAAAAAGTTTTAGCCAGAATAGAATGACTTTCTTTTTCTTCTCATGTGTGATATTGAACAGGCTGAGCATGACCTCTGTTAAAACATTGTACAAGAGAGATTGAAGGCAAGGCCCACATGTTTTCAAAAATGGATAGGCTATTGATTCTGTGAAGTAGAATAGATTGAATCTTCAGGTTTTTTTCAGGTTCTGGTCACAACTTATCTTTGTCATTTAATTCTCTTTCTCCGTGTTTTGTCCGACAGTTAAAATATTAATATTTATTTTACTAATGTGTTTCCTCTGTGAATTAAATAAGATATATATATATATATATATATATATGAAGTTTCATAGAAGGAAGAAACATAAAGAAGTATGGAAATGAAAGATCTGTGTATGGGTTGCATGTCTCTTATCCTTTTCTTCTTGTACTTGTGCATTTGATATCAGCAAATGGTCAAGTAGGGTAAATAGATTTGGCACAAATATAGTTAAGTCACTTGCATAAATGAATTGGAATCATTATCACACCCTCTTGAGATATAAGCCCTTGACTTTAAAAGGTTGTAGCCTATGGGTTCTGTAATATACTTTGAAATTTATTTAGAAGGTAAATGGACAAGAGATGTCATTGAGAATATATTAGTGGGATGTAAATTTTTCTCATAGTCCGAGAATGAAGGCAGAGAAAAATTTGCTTTTGAGATTATGAATTATTGGATATGTTGAACATTTGTAATAAAATGATAATTTTACAGTTATTATCTTTCTGTAGGTGAATGGGCAACCATGATTACATTTCCCATGGTTAGATATAACAGAATTTTAAGGCAATAATAAACAAAAGGAAAGATTGTTTCATGCTAAAAATAATCCCATTAGTAAATTTAGATTTAAAACCTACAAAGCACAAATATAGGATTGTTTTTTGTGCTTTTTATAGAGTTTATAAAATTTTGTTATGTGTTATACTTTGCTATAGCATATAATAAAATGAGTAATGATCTTTACAAGATTGTAAAATTGACTTTTTAAGTTTTGGGTGCAGTCTCACTAGCAAGTGTAAAGTTTAAATTACTTGCCAGTTGTAGCCCCATCTTAAGGATCAAATTAAAATTTTTTTAGAGTGTTCAGCTGAAAGAAGTGTTACTTTTGTTAATAATTGCAGAATAACTCTGGAAAACATCCACAGAAATAAACTCTTGATTGAAAGCCACGGTAAGGAAGGCATCTTTCTACAAGGTGGCAGCTCATAATCCTTCCTTCTCTGTAACACTTCTGTTAAACAGGCCAAAGTTTTTGTAAATAACCTGTCTACAGTGTGTGAGAAGTATTGGACTCTGGGACTCCATCAGACATTCCTGCTAATGCTAATCATTGGAAGATGGCTTCTCCCCATTGGGGGCACCATCACTCGAGACCAACTCTCAGAACTCCTCCTCATGTTTGTGGGGACAGCTGCTGACATCCTGGAATTCACCAGCGAGACTCTGGACTTGGAAAATGTGAGGTGAGCTCTGCAATGAAAAGACCTTTTCAGGGTCAGGACCACACACCTGTCTCTTTGTTCTGTTAATTATGTTTTGCATGAATAAACAACTTAGTGTAGCATATGCCAATTGTTAAGTCTGTAGCTTTGCTGCTGTTTAGACACATACTGGGAAACAGCACAGTCCTTATAATAAAAAAAAAATGAATAAATGAGGTTGCTGTTAGAGAAAGGGACACATGATACCCCTTGGAGTGAGAACGGAAACGCTGTGCGTATTTGCATGACTACAGGTCAGGTGGGCCCATGGTTATCTGGAAATCTGCAGTGGGTTTCACACCTAGCTCCTCTACAACAGTCTCAAGTGTCATGAACAGAGACAATTGTGAAATCTTCTAGAGCACAACATAGCTACAATTTCAAGAGACATGGAGAAATCTCTCCTTTCTCCAGTTAGAGAATTTACACTCCCTGGTGTGAATGGAGAATGGAGCGGATGAAGTTTTATTTCATTAAAATTTACTTTTAGTCAGTTTTGTTCAAAGTACCCCAAGGCTTTTTGATGTAGATGCTTATAAATTAAAACTTATTGAGTTGGTACTTTTATTTTTGCCACTACCAAATAAACTCAGAATCCATGATCACATCTGTTTATGGAACTACTTTCTTCCCATTAGGGATTTAAGTTTCAGTGCCTGAATGTACTTTAAGCTTGAGTTGTTTTGCACTATGCTATAAAAATAAATTGGAATGAGGCTGCCTTTTAATGCTACAGTTTACTTTATGCCGTGTTTCTCAAACAACATAACATAAAGCTGAGCAAAATACATTAACTTATTGAGTAACCTTAATATCTCAATTATAGAATGAATTATATTTATAAACATGTGTTATCTCAACATGATCATTTCTTGTTTCATTCATACTAATTTTTCTTTTAGCTTATTAAGGTGACATTCTTTTAAAAATAATCAAATCTAAATTGATTCATTGTCTTCAAAATGTTTTAGTTTGTACTTTGAATGCCTTATCATTGATCAGTGTTTTATGTTGTATTATGTATTTTCAAATACTTTTATGATAATTATAATCCTATGCAATTACAATAAAATCATGAACAAATCATGACAGAGCACATAAAAATAATGAATATCTATAATAAGAAGGAATGATAATATAATCATAACAAATTACACTTCTCTATAAATAAATACATAACTGTTGAATACCTCAAGAGATGGAGGAAACTTAGGATAGTAAAATAGTGAGTAGGGTTATGTTCTATGGGTCTGGTCATAAAATGTGAGGTGTGCCAAACTTCGTTATCTTAATGAACTCTTTCTTCATCTATTCCATCCAGAAGTAACACCATGGGGAAGTTTATAGATCTATGTTTACCAACAAATGTTGATTATTAAATAATTTTAATTGCATAGCCAACAAAAAACAATAACAACAAAATACACACCCTTGAAAGTCATGAGGTATTCTTTCACTTGCCAACTATGAATTTGTTTTCTAATCTGGCCGGCACTCTTCTAGGCAGAGATTGGGGAACAAATATTGAGCAAATGAAGAACAAAAAGACATTCAGTTCTATCCCCCGCCAGAAATGATTATTCAATTCAGTAAGAAGTTAAAGAGCATTTAATGTTTCGAGACATCGTAAATCCCCATTTCTTCTGCCAACTACCAATTAATCTGAGTGCTTCATGAATATATATTATTAAAATTTTAAACTTATATCATATTCTAAGCAAGATTATACTTAAACAACAGTTGGCCCTATATATTTCTGGTTCTCTGTGCATAGATAGAAAGCACTACAAAAAACTCTCATGTACTGAACATATACAGAGCTTTCTCTTGTCATTTTCCCTAAGTAATATACTGAAGTTCATTTGGTTAGTTTGTATGAATTCACATCGGTATCAAAATCCTATGATTCTGCAATTCTTTCTTAATAGAATTAACAGACTTAAACAACAAAAAAACCCAAGTTTTGTGATTCTACAGTTAGTAAATTACTGATTATATTGATGTTTAGTAAATTATGGATTTGTGTCACCATAACTGTAACTGAGATTTAGAATATTCCCATCACTCCAAAAAGATTTCTTAAAACTATTTGTAGTCAATTTTCACTTCTGCCACCAACCCTAGACAACCAATATAGACTTTCTATATAAATTTTCTTTTTTTAGACATTCATGTAAATTCGCCTGTGCTATTACATGTTTCACTCCTTCTGATTTTTAAATAGTATTTCACTGAGCATATGAACCATACTTACTTTGTTTATAGTAGTAGATGCGTATGTGAATTACTTATAATTTTGTGTTATTAAAATGACGATGTAAGTAGCGTTCATTTACAATGGGTGGGTATGTTTTCATTTTTCTTGGGTAAATACCTAAGAGTATAATGGCTAGAATTATGTTAAGTACACATTTAACTTTTAAGAAACAGTCAGCCAAACTATTTCTAAAGTAGTTTTACCATTTTGTATTCCCAGCTAGCAATGTATGACTGTTAAAGTTTCTTCATATACTTACTAATACTTTTTCTTTTTTTAGTAGAGGATGTACAAGTGGTATCTCATTGTACATTTAATTTGCTTTGAATCCAAAAACCATATTAAACTTGTTTATTTGTTAATTTCAGTCACTATTTCTGTAAATCTTTTCTCTGCTGTGATTCCTTTCTTCTGAGGTTCCTATTTAAAAGTGTTGGATCATGTTCCATAGGTCTCTTAGGCACTATTGATTTTTCCTCAAACTTTTCTACTCACTGAACTTCAAATTATATAACTAGTATGTGGCTGGTGAATAATTTTGGCAGAAATTGTGATCAAATACTTTGAGACCTTTGGATTTCTATCCCATGATGATCTATGTATGGATTGAGTAGCACATTTAAAAGTTCAAGATGTTTTCATATATTTTTCAGTTATTAATTTAAATTAGGCCCTTTTGGGTCTTCTCTGCATATAATTTTCCAATCAGCCAAGCACACAAGAGAACTCACCCAGCCCCTCTGTAGTTCTCTCATTTTTAAAATCTCTCCATGAAATTTAAAATGAGTTCATCACTCACCCCAATTCAGATTGCAATCTCAAGTAGAAGCTGTGAATTTTCTCTTTCATTTCCAACTAGGTTTGTTACTTTTATTGACCGCATCTCTTAGTGTGAGATTCCATACTCCTTTCCAAATCAAGTCAGTAACTTTTCGCCACAAGAAGCCTTTGTTTTTCATCACCAAGCCCTTCCTAGTAAAACTGTCATGCTGACAGATCAAGATATCCCTAACATATTCATAACTTGAATAAACTTTAGACAGAGTTTTGTCTGACTCTTAGTCCTTGGTTTCCTTTTTCTTAGAACATATACTTTAGAAAATTTGAAATTATAAATTATTTATTTGGATCTTTGAGATGTAAATCTTTTGCCAGCCTCTTGTCTATTGACAACCCAAGAATATCTTTCTCAAAGGACCTATGAGCCGTATCTTTGAAACATAATTAAGAATGTAAGTAATATTAAGAATGTCATGAAGAAAGATAGGGTCTCTATCTTCCAGTCTCTTTTGGAGGGTAGATGTCTCACTTAGATCTGTGCCAATTACCAAACACAGATGACCTAATTACTTCCACCCTAAGATCCTTCAGTATTTTTCACCAGCTCACCCCAATGTTTAAATCTCTCCCATCTTTTGTTTTACAGAGTTGAGTTTTATCTTATTGCCTTATTGAAACAGTCTCTCTCCCATATTGCAATAGTCATGAATAAATTCTTCCTTACCTGTTTGAAATTCCTGATTCAGTGGAATTTTTAAGTTAAGGGCATAACAATATCCAGGTGAAAGAGTGCTGTAGACTCTTGCTGTGGTTACCAACTATTTTGGCAGCTTTCCATGAATAAATTTTACTCAATTTATTGTTTTCCTCTGCTTGATTTCTAGAGCATTGAATGGTTGTTTTTGACAATTTTTCCAGTGTTATATATGTTTGATGGGAGGAGTAGTTACTATTTCATTTTGTTATAGCTACCTTTCATGATTTCACAAGTCTGAATTTCAACATCACTGCTAGAAACAGTTTACTGGTTATCTGCATCTATGGAGATTACTCAGAGCAATATGTTTTCTGAGCCCAAATCATTTATTAAAAAGAAAAATCTGTTTCCATAGCATTAATGATATTTTATTGTATTTGACTACAAAAAAAGGGAATCTTTCTATGTTTTCATTTTGCTTGATGAAACTTTTCTTTCAGGATGGGTTAAAACTCTGTTTTCTTTTTTAAACTTATTTATCACTTTTTCTTTCTCTTAATGTGTTGATCAATATTTTTTAAAAAAATAGTTAGCTGAATTCTATTCACTGGTTATTTCTTCCAAAAAGAAATAGCCAAGCAAGTTGGCAAAGTGTGACTTTTTATTTTTAATTTTCACCCATCTGGTTGGGTGTGCTAATTCACCAAATGCCACAAGCATAAAAGTATTACATAGATAATCATATTTCTACTGATCTTTTGTCTCCTTATGAATAAAATCCACTTTCTACCATGTATCTCCTTTGACATTTGTGAAGGCAGATTTTACAAATGTCATACTGGTGCATAAACCACCCCAAAATTCCTTTGCATATCTTGACTGTTAGGCATTTAAGCTCAGTGATTTATTTTACATTCCAACATTTAACCTTCCTGAGTAATTCCACTGTCTAATTTAACAATTCATATTTGTCTGCTTCAAAATTTTGACCTAGTTTTATAAAACTATTTTTGTTCATTTTACCAGTATCTTTCCCAAAATACATATTCTTCTATAGTTTGTGTTTGGATAAACAATACTTAAATATAAAACACATATACATTCAGTATTGTATTTTAGAATTGGGGGCACCTAGGCTAGAGGTAGGCTATAATTTGCTCCTACTCTTTAAGAGGATGAAGCTGAGACACAAAAAATTTAAGGAGCATGTTAAAATTCATTAGTAACAATAGTTTTAGCTAATTTATTTATCACTTAATTCTGTATCAAATACTGTAATGCCTTCAATTTAATGAGTTGCTCTTTAACATTATAAAGCAGATACTATTATTATTACCATTTTATAATCAGAAGAGTTTTAGAAACTCTCAAGATTACATGTAACAAAAAGTAACTAACTTACAGTATTCTCCCATGTTTAGCCTGTGTCAGGTGCTTTTCCAACATCTTCATATGCTCAATAGATTAAAGTAACACACTCAGAATTGTCACATAAAATCCAATAAGTACTGTAATTTTCACTTCATAGTACAGATGGGTAAACTAAAGTATTCAGATGTTAAACTACTTGTTCCCTTTTTCTAGAGCTGGTAAATGATCAATCTGGGATTAGAGCTCCACATTCCATTTCTCTAGAGAGAGTGGGAGCTTGTTTTGGAATTCTGGTTACTTGGTACCTGATTGCATGCATTACTATTGCATTATACTGCCTTGCAGTCAAATAGCAAGTTGGTTTTTATTGAATTATTGAAGTTTCAGATCATAAGAAACATCACAAGTGGGTGTCTTAGGAAAAATCCATTTTATAAGTATTGGAAAATCCTCTCCAAAATATTAACAAGTTTTATTTTTTTGTGGGCAGGCTCTGTTTGAAAAATCCTAATAGAGGATATACCAAGTAAATACTTGTTGTGTTTTGAGGTAATATTATTAGAAAGTACTTTATTCTATTATGGAGAAATGTAGATGCTTACAAATGCAAGTAAAATCCTTTGAGCCTGAATTGGTCTTCTGAAGTCACAAGATACAAATGTAATTTCTTTTCCCCAATATAGCCATTTAAACACATAAAACAAAGCCTTTAAGGAATTTTCTCAGTTTTCAGTTTGTTGAGCTATCCCACATGTAATATGACTTTAGTCTCTGCCACAAATACATTTATAAAAGTGTCTCATAAACATAATATATAATATAATACATAACATTTCAGGTATGTTATGAACATTGTTGAATAGACTAGGCTAAAATTTTCCATTTCATTCTAGAAAATAGTACGGTGTAATGGTTGAAAAGATGTCTGCTGAAATCAGTCATTTCGTTTTGATTTCTGCTCCCAGTTCTTATAATCACATTACTTTGTACACATTTTCTCAGCTCCCTATGCCTCAGTTTCCTTTTTAGCCAACAAAAATAATAATTATGTCTAATTTGTCAAGTTGATAGGAAGACTATGTGTGATCATGGATTTAAACATTTAGAAAACTTCTTGTTACATAGATGGAGATCAGAAACTATAACATTATTTAAAATTCCAGACATCTATTCAAGGTCTACTGTGTATAGACATTGATATTGTAGAGAAAGAAAGGTATAGTCTTGAGACCCAAGACATTTTCATTAAAATTTCTAGACTTTATATTTCTCATGATCTATGATTGCACATGATTTTAGACAATCATTAATCATGTCACATTCTGGACTCATAGTTAGATAATAGGGAAAATCCTTGAGGCATCTTTACTATCTTACTGCATCCTAATTTATGATATCCAGCTTTCTGGAATCCACTTTCTGGAATCTTGATTGTGTTCTCCAGGTGCTGGTTTTCTATCCAAGCTTCACATCGTATGTGCATGAGAAGTCTTTGATGGTATTATTATCCAGTTCACTGATGAAATGTGAAGTAGAAGAGAATCATAGATAGAGCCTACAGCAATACATTAGACAACTCACTCCCCTTGATGAGTCACTCACACAGTTAGAAATCAACTTAGTATTCACACTCAGAATATTTCTTAATTTTCCTACTAAGGACGCTATAGAATTTTTTTCAGGAGGCTTATTTAAATTCATGTGTCTGTCATCAATTTATGTAGTATTACCTGCTTGGTAATCTCAATTCTGTTTTTAAAAGGGAAGAAGAAATAACCCTAGTTGAGTACAATTGTTCTTAGAAAACCTGTGCTGATTCTTAATAATTACTGCCTTCTTCCATAAGGACTCTCAGAAATCATTTGAAGAATCACTTATATACTCTGGGCATTAATAGTAATATATCTTTTGTACTTTCAGATATATTTCTGCTTCTTTTTGAAAGTTAAGACTTCATTTTTCTGTCTTCAATCTTGTGTCCACTGTTAACTGCCTAGACAGATAATGATGGCTTAGAAATCTCATTTACAAATTCTCTGAGGCTTGAGGTTTAATTTTTTAGGATCTGAACACTTGAAGCATTTACAGATATCCCTTACAATCTCTCCATTTAGTTTGGTTTCAATTACTCTGGCCTCATAGTTTCTGAGCCCTCTCCAGTTGAAAATCCCTCTTGACAGAAGATGGAAAAAGAAATCTGTTGTTGCACCACTGACCTCAAGTTGATTCCCTCCTTGGTATATTTACAAAAAATAAATGTGACTTTGGTAGTTATTTAATATCCTTTACATTTCTGTAACCTCTATGCCTTTGGACTTAGTATTCCAGACCCTTCTTTGAGATTTGTGACAATTGTATGCTTGCCCAAGCAACCATTCTTTCCATAAATGTATGTTGAGTACCCTGGTGTGGATGTAGATAAGAGAAGAGCACATGCCTAGCATTCAAGAGACCATGGGTTTGATCCCTAGTTTTCAAAAAGATGAAACCAAACAAAACAAAAAAAAACCCCAACCAAACATGAACACACTCACATGCACACAACAGCATAGTTTATCTAGTGTAAACTCTCTTTATTGCATTTATCTCTCCACTTTTTTTCCATTTAAGACGAGTTTTCTTTTGCATGCTGAGATTCTGATTTTGGAGTATCATCTTGCCCTTTTGAGATTTCTTTTCAATTAGTCTTGGATTCTGGGAAGAATTATCAGTCCTTCCTCCTACATATTTTGAAATTAGACTCTGAATATGCATGTCAATATCTAACTTTTTCCCCTAGTATTTCTCTCTTGTAATGTTTTTATTATTTTGGAAAACTGAAGAAAACAATATGAGACCAAGAAGCTTTGCTATAATTTATGCTTATCCTAGGCTTAAGTGTTTGATTTCTCGTGTTTCATTTCTTTTTCTTCACCTCACTAGGATCATGCATGGCTTATTTTCATGTATTTATTATGTCACTAAAATACTTTGCCAACTCACAAGAAATTTATTAAAAGTACACTCAAATATGGGTTGAGATTTCTCTCTTCTGAATATGATCATGCTTTTAATTACTAATTTAAAATGTGGTCCACATTCTAGGAACAACACTCCGCTAGTCTGTGCCATCCTTGTGATATGGACATGGAGCATGCTTCAGTTTCCACTTGACCTGGCAGGTAAATGGCTTCATATCTGTGCAAAGACGTGGGTGTGGTGGCACACACCTGTGATCCCAGCATTTGGGCGGCTGAGGCAGGAGGATCACCACAAATTCGACATCAGACTGTGCTACATAGTGAGCTCAAGGCCAGCCTGACCTATATAGTGAGACTCTGTCCCCAAACCAAACCACACCAAACCAAACACCAGATTCTCATGGACATAACCTGTGTCTTACAGATTCATCTTCAATATTTGTGCAAAGAAACAGAAAATTACAACTCTTGATTACAAATTATACTAAAGGTATAGAAGCAATTGAGGGGATTATCCTTTTTATATCCCCATGTTAGTTCCAATTCTTAGAGGGAAGAAAGACTGAAACTTAGGAAACCTTTGACTGGTTTCATTCTGGTGTAATCACCTCAAGATACTTGATTGGATAGTGTCATAGATATGAATTCACCTCAAACACTGGTTCTACCACTTATGACCTGTGAAACTTCCTGAGAATTAACATATCTGTGCCTCCATTGTTTCATCCATGCAATGGAATGGTAATCACAATAGCTAGGGTTGATGATTCAATAAGCTGTAATTTGGAAAAGGCTTACTAAATTTTTTCCCCTTCTCTTCCCTTCCCTTTCCTTCCCTTCCCTTTCTTTTCCTCCCCCCAACCCCCTGCCCCATGGTACCAGGGATTGAATCCTGTACTTTCACACTGACCTACAACCCCAAACTATTTAATTTTTATTTTGAGATAATGTCTTACTAAATAGCTAAATTGCCCATGCTGAGCTCCAATTTGCAATCCTCCTTCCTTAGCCTCCCAAGAAGCTGGAATTACAAGAGTGTGCCGACACATCCAATGTCTCTTGATGTTTATAAGTAATCATTTTTATTCCTTTATCAGACCATGTATTAAGGTAATAAGAGCAGTTTCAGGGCCCCATATGGAAAATTAAACTTTCCTTCAGAAGTAGCCATTGGAATCTCATTTGTTTTTACTTCAAAGATACAAATTTTTAAGACTTTCAAAGAAGTAAACTATTTCCTAGGAATTTCATACCAGTGATGCTCTACAGTTGCATTGCCCAGTATAGTACCCGCTAACCACATGTAACTTTTCAAATTCAAGTTAAAGCTAAATGAAACTAGAGGCTCAAATCCTCAGTCACACTAGTCACATGTGAAATGCTCAGTTGCCACTGATGACTACCATATCTGACAGGAAAGATATGTCACATTTTTACTTCCATAGAAAGTTCAACTGGACATTGTTGACCTAGAGCAATGGTGGCAAGCCTATGGCACACATGCTGCAGTGAGCTGTTTATATCATTGGATGCTCTAGAAGGTTCGCCCTCATTGACCTAGAGCTATACCATAGGTTCATGATATCCTGGAATTTTGATTTGCGAATTTTCCTGGGTGCCACTTTACTTTGATGAAATTTTAGACTTTAATTATTACATTTTTCTTGGTCTGGCTTACTTTTTGAGAACCTACATGCTGGGCTCAGGATTAGAATTAATCCTTGGGACAGGAATATTTAACATTTTTCTATATCTTTTTTGTTTCACTTCGATAGATTCAGAAATTTGAAACATTTTAAATCTTAGATTCCACTTTCTGAAACAAAATTGTCAACAGAAGTGACAGAAAGAGTCACTGTGGCTTTTTCAAAATACCAAAAACCTGATTACTGGTTACAAACAAATATAAGCTAATAATATATCATGAATTAGAAAATAAATCATACTCATTAGTCAACTGGTAGAATAATAATAGCTAGTTAGTGGTCCACTGATAAAATATTAGGTGTAATCCCTGTACATGTCACTTTATACCTTTGGGGGCCCTTTGTGAGCTCTTTCAGGCCCCTGACTTCTTAGGAAAAGCAGTTACCAATCCTAAAATGCTTTGCTGCTGTCATTCACTCTGCTGATTCTCACCCTCTGGTATCTTGTGGTTTATTGCTTTGCTAAGAAAATTTTTATTTAAGAAAGAAATTTTGTAAACTTTGAGGGGTGATAATGTTGTGCAGCTGTTTGAAAAACAAAGACCAAATGTTACTTCTGACTAAATCAGTATTATATTTTCCAACAAACAGTACATTATGTTCACCCATATCAAAGCAGCTTCATAATATTTTCAGGCTCCAGTGAGAAGAAGGCATTCTTTGTTTAAGAACTCCAAATGGAAGGCTTTATTATTATAAAAGGATTATTTTCTGCCCCTGACCTTGAATTAAATTTACATTTTAGAAATTTTAAAAAGTTTATCTGTTGATTAGACTTTCTTTTTGTTCAGCTGTAAAATCAGTAATTATATCCAGTCTTTCTTGTAAATTGTGAAACAAAGGCATAAGGAATTAGGGTAAAACAAATAACAATGATATTTATTTGGGGTTCCCCTCCCCACCATTAGAAAAAGAAACTTGACATGAATTGAATTTAAATTTGAATATAAGCATTTGGATTTACACAGCACAGTTAGCAAGCATGACTTAGTGAGTGAAGCACTAAGTACGTTGATCCTAAAGAGAGTATCTAGGAGGAGGTGGGCCAAGTGCATGTAGCTCCATCTGCCTCATTTAGCAGTCAAGCAAGTCACCGTTATCCCCAGGGAAGATTGAAAAGAAAGTGGAGAAAAGGGCGGAGTGTTATTCCAGTGGAAGGAAAAGGAGCCAATGAACTGAGAACCCTCGCCTCCCAGATATTTATATCACAGTCTTCAAAAGAAAAACCCGAGTCCTAGAGCAGTGAAGTCACATGGCACCTCCCTGCTAGATTTAAGGCATCTGGGGTCCCTGACTTCAGGCCTTGAGCCCACTTCTGTGCTGTCTCCCCACACCACAGACTCTAAAAGGCACCTGGCATCTCCCTTACTCTTTCTAATCTATTTAACAGTGTCCTCCCCAGAGTGAGAACGATCTGAAATGTTTTTAGTGGATGGAAAGCAGGTGGTAAGGAGGTGGGAAAGGTTTCACCTGTTCCCACCACTCAGGATCAGGGCCCCCAGGGTTAAGGACTTGTCCAATCTCATCTGTCTCGCATGTGCATGTGCAGATGAGAGTGTTAACTGGCCTGTCTGGCGCTTTCAGTGCAGCAGGTCGTGTGCCCCTCGTCGGTAACAGCCAGGGGATTCCCCAGCCTGTTCTTCTGCCAGTACAGCTCTGACCTGTGGAACATCGGGATCAGCATTTTCATCCAAGACGGCCCCTTCCTCACCGTGCGCCTCATCCTGATGACTCATTTCAGCGTCATCAATCAGATGCTGGTGTTCTTTGCCGTCAAGAACCTCCTCGTGGTGCTGCTGCACCTGTACCGCTTGGCGGTCCTGGCGTCGGCTTTCCGAGCTTCCCGGCGACGGCAGTCAGAAGGCCTCAAAGCAGAGCACGGCTGTCCGTGCGGACCCCCTCAGAGTGGGCCAGGGACCGGCGAGGGAACCGTGAGGGTGGGCCTGGCTATGCCTTTGCAAACCTCACCAGCCTCCTCTGATGCCTCGGAGCCCACACCATAGCCACTTATTCCCAGCAGGATGCAGCTGGAAGGATGAACTTTGTAGGCTCGTACACAGTTCTCCCTCTTTTTTTTTTTTTTCCTTTCCATCTTGGCATATAATAATTTTCAAAGAAACATCATGAAAAGATGATCTTAAACTAAAGCCAAGGAATTTCCTTTTGTCAGTGGAATGGAAGGAACTTTGATTAGTGGTGATGGCTACAATTTCTTTTTGATGGTGTAAGTTGTTATAGTCATTCAACAACCGATTTGTTTCTGCTTGGACAAGGTTGCCGTGACATGTCCCCCTCGAAAGATTCAGTGCGACCTGTCACGGCTGTTACCTGAAAATATAGACACTTTGACCTTTGGCTCCATTGTCTGACTGTCTCAACTGATCTTTTCTGCGATGTCCCTCCGACGACAAAAATGTACAGTCAGTGAATGCAGAACAAATGAGGGAAAAGTGTCTTTAAAATTACCTCACTGGGAGCTGGCAGCAGTGAACATACCTCCTCAGCTTCCAGATCACAGAGACCCCTCCCTCCCCCTCCGTTTACCACTGCATGGACCTTCCCAGGGAAACCTTTTTTCTGAGCAGATGTGGTATTCTGTCCTGGTGCATATGCTCTTACAGAAATTTTATTGTTTTTGGCTTGGGCACAACACTCACAGCAAACCATTCGGTTACCTGTCTATTGGTGGCAAGGCAGGAAACACTGGAGAAACGCTAGCAGTCAGTTTCATTTTGAATATGATTTGCGGTGTTCATCAACCCCACATGACCATTTTCTACATTGGCAAGTTAAATTGCCCTAGCTGATGCAGGGATGCTCTGGAGCATGGATGAAGGTGTTCACGCCCTTCAAGGTTACCACAGTTTCTGGTGTCTGCCAGCAACAGCAAACATAGGTGCATCTGCTCCAAACTGGTTCCCCTGGAACTGGCCCTTGGGTCTTGGGCCAGGAGAATGGATGAACCTCGGTGAGGGACGGAGGAGGTCGGAGCCAGCTTCTGCATCATGGGAATCAGGCAATGCGCTTCATCCTCCTGAGTTAAGACTTAATTTTCTCACAGTTTAGGTAGTCATTTTGTCCCCTTTACACACCTCTGTACTTTCAAGATGGAGGTGATTCTGAACCTTTTAAAGTGATTTTTGTTTTTAAAGATACAGTGGAAAAATTTGCTTGGTTGTGTAGCAGTAATTATATAGGAAGCAAAGAGTTTCAAAAATATAAGGGTCAAAGCATCATTCTTCCTATGTTAATAGGCTCAGGAATTCAATGGGGCATTTTCAGGCAGGAGTGCCTCTAATTGGTTGTGACCTATTGTCAACCATTTGGGACAGTTTTACCTATAAATTTCTGTGTAATATAATATCCACTCACAAATTTAATACAAAGTTTTACAAATACATTCTGCTTTTACATAGAGTAATGTATTTTTTCAATAAATCTTTCTTTTCTTCCTATGCTTCTTATTTTAACAATATAATGATTATAAAATTACACATGAAATGAGTAGAATACATTTATAATTATACATAATAATTTTATGCAAGTTAAGATCAGGAAATTCTATTTATATGAAATAAAGAACTTGACAACTTTTAAGGGCATGTTATTTCAAATGCTTAGCAATGGAAAGCAAAATAATAACTGCTATTTATAAAAATGCCTCCACAGAATCTGTTTTTATGCTGACTGTTTTATGTTGACTTTTTTCTTCCACAACATGTATGTGCTGCTTATTATTGCAGATTTGCTCATGGCATACTTTTCATGTTTGAATTTTTTTTCTTCCAGCAAAACAAACACTGAGCCTCTATTTTTAGTATAAAGTAGTAAGGCTGTTGCAAGGATATTTTAAAGTGCTTTTAAATCTGAGACTTGGCTTGGATTTGTGAATGAGTTTCTAGTGTTTAAGTGAAGTATTTTGTAATTAGCACTCTTCCAAAGGCCTGGGAAAGCAAAAGCTGTCCAAAATCTGGCTTTATTTAGAAAGCTAGGAAGTCAGAGAGTACCCGGGACCATCTTGGTAATTAATGGCAATAAAATAGACATATATTCTGTAAGATTTTCCAGAGAAAACTGCTAAGGGCAACGTTTTTTAATCTAACTGCCAGTACTTCCATTCTCTTAGACTGGCTGTTTTTATAGGTTTTTTTTTTTTAAATCTGGTTTTGTTTAGTTTACTTCAAAAGAACCCTAAGTACAGCTTGTATCCCTGATAAAAAATTTATAAACGTATTCAGTTAATTGTATATTTCTACTGTGAACACATAAACATTGTAATGTTTAAAAACATCCAAGAATTTGCTCTAAAGTGGTTAGAACATGAGTTATCTCCCGTATGTTGGGATCCTGGGACTTGCATTTTATTTGTAATAAGCTGAGTGATTCATATCGTCTGGATAATGTGATATACGCCATAGCCTCTAGGCCCACACCATCCAGCCCCCAGCTCTCAGACACAACACATGCCTATTTCCAACCACTAAAGAGAGTGGTTTATTTGTGATTATTGGATCTGTTTTATTGCTATCATTGTGATTTTATCATTTGATTAAAGCTCAATCAAATGTCATCCCTATAAACAGCATTCTATTTGTGAGAAAATACAGTGTTAATGATACTGTGTAGAAATACACTGTATTTCTTGTGACTATCTTATGTGTTTCATTTGCCCTAATTGGATGAGCCTCAGATGATATGACAACGTGGTAAAATGAGTTAACCATTCTTATCTTTGATTATTCTGTGAATTTTTAGTTAAACTGTGATAGCATAAGAAAATAAAAGCTTGAATGGGCAAATAGCATTCATTCAAATCTTTCAGTGAAGAGTCTCAGACAAATTTATCCACTGGATTAGTTGTACTTTCATTAACCCTTAATAGCTATATAGATATAGGGAAAAATTTTCAAGATTTGCTACCAATATTAACCATTAACTCATTTATTAATAAAAATTTTCAAAGCAATAAGATGTTCATGGTTTGGAATTTCCACCAGGTTTCAGAGTTGAGCATTGACTCTTTTCATCTTTGGTATTTAATAGTAATGTCTCTTAATAGTTATTCTATTAAAAGAGAAAAAGAATGGCAAAAGGCAGGCCTCTGTTTACCTTTGCTCTGCTCCAAAAAAGGCTACTTAAAATATGCTGCATAGGCTCAGAGACACAAGAGAAAAATCAAACAATCTTGAATTTTAGAGGAAAAAAAAGACCATTACTTTTTCTAATTCTACATTTTGCTTTTTACTTAAGGAATATTCTGGTCTACTCTTGGAAATATCTAATAAGGTTAAACCAGGCAACTAGAGGATGTTTACAGCTTTGAGACTTCAAATAACTTTCTGTATAATGAGAGTAACCAAAGAATATTTGAATAATTAACTGCTGCAACCTCATATTTTATAGGTGCTTATTTTCAGAATCTTTCTTACTAGAACATTGTATAAGACTATTTTTTGAAGTATTTGTATTCGCTATGATTCATCTATGTATTTCATTGTATATATTAAATAGTGAGTGAAAAATTTTATCTCAGTGTCTACTATTTTTTACCTACTTTTCATGTCTTTGTTCTCTGCTATAATTTTATTTCCTTTTAGGTTTTAACCTGTAAGTTGAAAAATAAAACTATTCCGCTTAGAATATGATTAAAGTGGCATTTCAAGCCAATGAGACAAGGATGACCAATTTTATAAATGATGTTGGGAAATTTTGCAATCCATCTGGAAAAAATAAAGTTAGATTATTATCTCATATAATATATAGAAATAAATTCCAGATGGATTAAAGACCTCAGTGTAAAATGAAAACTATAAATATTAGAAGAAAATATGGAATGTGTCTTAGGAGCATTTTGGGGTTGAGAAAGATCTTCTGAAGCAAGACATGAAACCCAGAAGCTAAAGAACAGATTGGCAGATTTTCCTACATCATCGTTTAATATTTCTGAAGAGCAAAACGTATCATAAATATATCACCACTATCTTCTTTACTGGAGCAAAAAGGTTAGTGAAATCAGACAAAAGAACTGAGAACTATAGAAATTGAAAGAAGAAGCCAAATTCATCATTTATTCACATAAGATTAGATATCTTACATATTAAAATTTAAGTAACTATTAATAGTTAACCTGAAATAACACAAAAGCAATAACTTTTCTATACACAAATATAACAGAATACATATTTGAAGAAGATATTTCTTTTATGATATAAACTAAAATTATAAAATACATAAGAATGAACTTAAAATGTACAAGATCTATGAGAAGAAAGCTATAAAATGATTTTGAGAATCATAAATAATTTAACAAATAAATATATTCTTTGCTTAGTGGTAAGACATCTTGATATTTTAAGAAGCAGCAACTTCTCCTAAATTGATCTAGAAATGTAACACAATCTCCATAATCAACAAGATACTAATTTTTAGTCACTACACAAGCAGATTCTAAATTTCATGCTAAAATAAATAGGAAAGAAAGCTGGAAAATATTAAAAGAAAGAAGAAAATGAGAGGGAGTTTTCAATATATTTAACTGTATTATACAGCTAAAATAACCAAGATAATTTAGTTCTAGCACATGAGCAGGCAGGCAAGAAGATGAGCAAAATAAAGTTAATAAATAGACTGAACTACATAAGAGATTCTGATATACAATAAATCATAAAGCAGGGGTAAAATATTATAAATAGTTTAGATTTTGGAAAATATTAAATTGGATTTCTACCTCAATTCTTATGTCCAAAATGGACATGATGTCCTTATGTCCAGATGGATCACATAATTAAACAATAAATGAAAAACAAGCATAGCAAGCATTGATTATATAATTGCAATGGTGAGAATGCTCTTTGAATAAGATATAAAACAAGAAAGCATAGAAGACTCATAAATTTTAGCTCATTGAATATTTTAGCATCATAAAAAAGCTATCAGAATTTCAAAAGTGGAACAATAAACAATAAATATAACAATAGAACAACAAACCAGATAAATATGTTACTAACAAATCTACACAAGCATTAGTATTTTAGTGAACAAACAGTTCTTTGAAGTAAGAATAAAGGTGAAAAGCCACAGGGAAAATGTGCAAAAGACATAAGTATATGATTCACTGCAAAAGAAATAAAAATGCAAATCAAGCAGCAATGCAATACCATTTTTCAAATGCAGACAAAACTACACTATAACTAAATTTCTCTTATTGAATTGACAAAGACGCAAAAGGGTTTTTAGAATGCTATACTAGAGGGGAATCAAAGGAAGTAGATATTCTTATTCATGGCCATCGAGGGTAAGGATTTGTGTAAGTCCTTTGGAGACAATTTAGCAATATCAGTTACAGATAAAAATGGATTTACTATTTGACCTAGTAAATCAGCTTCTAAGATTGTATTCTACAAATGCATGTGCACAAAAATGAGTGTATAAAGTTACTTAGTAATTTCTACAATATTAGTATAGTATTATCAACAAAGTCATGGTTAAATAATGGAATCTATTGCATAATACCATTTAGACATTCCTGCATTTTTTTACATTTATGCTTTGTATATCTTGGATCTTAAAAATTATGCATTTCTTTTGTAATGTATAAAGCAATTATCAATAACAAGAAGTCTCACTAACATATAAACTTTACTTGAACTTGTTGTCATGTATAGAAGCTTTAAAATAATTTTCATCTGAAGTGAAAACATCATTTATTTTTCATCCAAGAATATAGATTTTTCCTTACTTTAACTAAGGACGAACTGCTGAAGCTTGAGATAAATCAAGGCAAACTGTCTAATTGACCTGCATTATGAAACATCAGATGCTTGGGAAATGAAATCATGAGTAGGTCTGTAAGAGTACAAAAAAATCAAAAAGATTCATCTGGTCTTTCCTGATGAGTAATACACAGACTGTCTTAGAACTGTCATTCTGATACTTCTTTACTTGCTGACACTTATGGAGTCACCAAGCCCAAATGTTGAGGAATTTAACTCTGAACTGCATAGTCAAACTGATTTTCACAGGAAATATTGAGAACTGAATGGGCCCCTGAAAGAAAAAAAACAAAACTCAGAAAGAATCTGTGCATCCATTTCCAAATCCATATTCATAGCTCGTCTAATTTGTGTATATAAACGTTTTGAATTTTGTCAAGTCATTACTACTAAATGTACAATTGATTGTAGTAAATGATCAGATGGGTCATATGCAAATCTGATCAAATTACTGAGGAAAACAAAAATTCCTAAACCAACAATATGTCAACTATCATATAGTCTTCATATCCAAACTAAGAATTTTGGCCTAGGAATATTGGATCTAGAAGACAAAATATGTTTTCTCTGTGGATGCTGGTGTTCAGCTGCTGCCAAATGCATAGCTGGAGAGTTCAGATGGCTGTGGTTTTGAGATTTTGGGGTTGTTTCTACTTTCTGGCAAAAAATGTTCTCCATTATTTGAGGTTCCCATATGACTTGAACGACAGCTAACAACTGGGGTCAAAAACTATAATTATGGTTTCAACTAATCTCTATAACTAGTGGTTGCCATTGGTATCTCCAACCGCAATCTCTCTCTCTCTCTCTTTTCCTTTGAACTCTATGCCTGGATTTCCATCTCCACCTGTATATTTGCAAGTATCATAGACCCAATATATACATATATTTTACATGTAGAATATATTTGGTCTCCAGCCACTCAGGCACCATATATATCCATGACCCTGGCCTCTTCTTTCTTGTACTTCCAAAGCAACCCCCAAAGTCTTTGTTATGCTGCTTATACCTCTTTTCTATCTTTATTCTTCCATTTCCATTTCAAGTGGCACTTTCTTAATTTAGTGTTGCGATCTTTCTTAACTCAGGGATTATAATCATCTTCCAATTGGTCTTCCAACCTCCTGGGTTAATTCAACCATAATGATTTTCTAAACTGTATTGTGAGCTGGCTTTTTCAAAGCACATATTAGATCATGAATTTCCTCTTTTTCTTTTTTTATTAATTTTATTGGTACATTTTAGGTACACAATACAGTTACATCCATCACTGGAAATTTGCACCTTTACATAACCTATCTTGATTCTTATTTTTCCCCATTCCTCTGCCCTCCCTTCAACCCCTCCATCCCTCCCTAATTTCTTTTTCATGTGCTTCAGTTGATGATGCCAATAAGATCAAAATAAATTTCCAAGAAAATTATTTGAGACCTCAGTGTAACTCTTCAACTTTGTTTCCCATCACTGAAATGCCCCCTACAAAACACAAACACACAGAGCAGCCAGCACTGGAAACTACTCATTTTCCCTTAATCTGCCATTACACAGTGTATTTGCAAAGACTGTTTAGCAATACTCCCTCTTGCCACCACACCATTAGTGATTCCTTGTCTATTCATCCATCTTCTCTCATAGATAGCCCAATGTTCCCATCTAGAGTTGATGTCTTGGGGAGAAAGAACAATTCCAGCAGCCAAAATTATTCTACATCCTATAGGAACCCCAAGAGAATGAATATAAACATCTTTCAGTTCTGAGAGCAGAGACATCCATGGAGTTCTGATTTCTAGTATTTCCTTTGAAGCAACAATCCTGAGGAGAACATCAGGGAAGACAAAGTGGGTGGAGCACTTTATTACTTATCGTGGACCCCAACTGGAGTCTGCAGGAAAAGCAACAGATCAACTGACCCCAGAAGTTCCTTCTTCTTCTCATGTCTAGATAAACTATCTACTTTCTCTGGTATCTGACAGCTTCTACTTATATTGCCTTGGTGATGGCCTCCCCACCTCCTTACAAAGATCCAGCTTTCTACTATCTCGCTCTTAAAATTTCCATCCTTTATTTAAGGAAAAAAACTATAAAAACTTCAGAAAGTTTACCTCACATTTCACCTCTTTGCTTCTAGAACAGTGACTCATTTTTACTCTGTGTTTGTAACCTTCTGTATTTATACTTTATATATATGCCATCAGACTGAATGTCTGAGGAAATAGGCCATGTGTGATATTCAGTTATAAAAACCACAGGATTCTAGACAAACTGAAATTTTTTCATTTCCCAGAACTCATAAAGCTTTTTTCTCTCTGGGACTTGGTTTTGCTTGTGCTTCTTCTTGGAACGTTCCAGTCCCAAACCCCAGATTCCCCTAGCCAGCTCTTCATGTGAATTGCATTTTGGAGGCAAAGTTCTCAGACAACTTGTCATTTTTTTTCTTCCCCCAAAATGCTATCACATTGATCTTTATTTTTCTTTTCTATCATTTTGGCTAGTCAACATTACTTTTCCTTGATATGTTTATTTCTATCTCACTTATAATGATGATGTAAAGGCCAAGGATATCTATCTTGTTCACTGCTGTGATAGTAGGTGCTCAAAACTACTATTGGATGTGTTATGCCTTTCTGTACTTATTTGCACCATTAATTCTTTTATGAAATAAACTCACACCTCATATGTAAGTGTATATCATACTATGTTCATGTGTTACCATTGCTTGCTAAAGTTAACCATTCCTTGACAGCATAATGTTTAC